TGATTCCAGCTGAATTCTCATTGAAAACAATGTCCCTGCCTAGTGGAAGTTGGCAGGTCTTCTGTTATTATGGCTGAGTAGAGCGGCGAAGTAAGGTCCATGAAAGTGCGTCGGGCCAATGAGAGAAAGACGGCGTCGCCGGCCTCCTCACTTGCTTTTGCGTGGCGAAAGTGGTGAGATCGCTGCTTCTGCAGACCAGTCTACTTGCACGATGGGATAGGGAGATCCTAGCTGATCGCGACACTGCCTCTTCGCATACATTGCCTTTTTGACACAGATTGAAAGCCTTGAATCTCGACTACGAATAACAATAATAATTGACCTGTTTTGCAAACCACGTCCTGGACGTTTTGGTGTGAGGGGTACTGATGAGTAAACTAGTTGATGTTCCAGGCTCGTGAAACTGAAATAGATCTTGTAGAGTGTAGCTCTCAATAAATGCAGTACAGTATGGTGCAGCAAAGGAGCAAGTCCCAAACGATCCTTGATTCTACGCCACTAGACTGAGCACAACGGGTGGCACAATATACGAACAAAGGCGTTAGTTCTTGAGGCTTCTAAACACTGATAGGATGCTTGGGCTGCACTTACCTCCTCGTTCTGTGCTGCTTGAACATCATGAAACTCTGGAACTTCAGAAGCGGCTCCGATAAACGGCGTCTGCTCAACAGTTAGACATCTTTCCTCTGAAATGCTTGCTTAAGGCGTTTGCATCATCACCTGAGATAGAAACTGTCACCCCAACGGCTTGCAGGCTGGACGTCTTGTCGCAGAAATTCGTCTTCGGCTCCACCGTATTCCACAAAATCAATCTGTGAAGTGGACGGGAGCACGGGACTACTGAATAGCATAGCATTAAGTGTAGTAGACTTTCTGCAGAACTCAGGGCATGCAGAAAGTATATAATGTGCAAGGAAATTCACTCACGAAGCGGCTAAGGATGTGAATGGTCGGCAGGCGAAGTGATGCCCCCAAAAGGGATCACCGCGACTTTGAATAGTGCCATCCTTGATGTGAATAGTGCGGATCACATCCTTTACGCGTGCTGAACATTTTGTATATCACAGACTGAATCAAATATTGAACAACGCAAAAATAAATGAGTGTAGAATGATTACTTTCAAAGGTATGAAAGAACTGCAAGTAGATGACAGATCTGAAATTCTTAGAACCACAGTGACAAGCATATGCAGTACCGCAGGCTTTTGAAAACAAGCGCTTTACGTTGCCAGCCGAATGACAGTGGGTCACCAATTTCAGCTATGTTATATATTTTAAAAAACAGATCTCACAGTGGGTGGTGGAGGTGGCGTAGTGGCGAGCGGCACGCTTAGCACACACGCGGTCCGAGGGTGAAATCCTGCATCGACTCCCGCTTAGGCCAACCAAGCCTCTACTCCTCGGGAGCGGTAAATTGGCAGAAGATTAGTCTGGGAGGACGCAGGCCCATGCAACTCCTCCGGTTGGAAGTCGAATAGAGTACAGAGTACAGAGTCCCCTCTAGCATATTTTCCAAGATGTCTAGGGGAAATATCTATCAACAAAGGAGACTTGAGCACACAGCATACTTTGAAGAAGTAAAACTTTGATCTAATATATACTCACTATCCGCCTTTGCGCGCCTGCAAGTCAGACAAGAGTAGAATTTACTGGCGTCTTTGGATGACGTCCTTGTATAGGAGAACTCGTAGAAAATATTCGGATTTTCCGGCAAGGAAACAACAGCTACAGGATGGGACGATTTTGACTGCAATGTACTAGAAGGTTGCGAAAAAAGAAGCATGACTGATGAAAAAAAAGATCCTGTCTAACTTTGCCTTTTGAAGAACGATTCTCGGAAGGTCACTTTATGTCCATGAATCGCACCATGCTTCAATCGCACGCATCTAACACTCTGAGATGGCTGCTGAAAGAAAGAAACGTAGGTATGTGCTGCTTTGTAGTAAACACATTACCGCAAAAGAATGAACGAAAAATGTTCTCTACTTAGATTGTAACAATATAGATTGAAAAATAGAAGACTGAAAAACCATAGGCTACTGAATTCCTTATCCAGCCGTCTAACTCATCAAATTATACGTGAAACACAGCATAAAAGCTGTTATGCTGAGAGGGAGGAAGGAGTGGTTTGCTGGTTTAGAGGGGAGCACATTAGCCCGATGAGTGCGAGTTCAAATCGAGATTCCAGTCGTCGACTCTTCTGAAATACCAGCATTTTCGCCAGGGTTTGACATGTGATTATCAATGTAACGACAAGAGATCGTAAATTCGCCGGCGCTGATGACGGCATTCGCAGTGCGACGTCGCGTCCGCAAATGAAGATGCTCCCAGGTAGTAGATGGCGACAACAGGCAATTCAAAACCGAAAATAGTCATGAATGTCTGAGATGACGGGGTCTACATGAAGTCCGGTGCTCCAATCGACAGGTTAACACGAGTTAAGGAAACGCCGCGCTCATCGCCACGTGCGGCGAAGCGGCAAACTACGATTCTCTTGCCCATCTCCCTTATTCGACTACTATGCGAACAAC